CTGAGGGTTTGGTCTGGAAAGGCTTTTTTACATGACGTTTTCAGTCGTCATTTAACGTGGGGTTCGTGTAATGTCCTACGAATCCTTAGGACTGTCTTGGAGGCCTTGAATGGTAGAAATAAAAGCACATCTGGATCATCACCTTTTCACAACCAGACTGAAGCAAAGGCCAGTGGGAACCACCACTAGCCACTTTCTACCAGGCTGGTCTTTCTCACTCCGTTGCTGAAATCCCCAAACCTACTATTACACGTATTAAATACCCACGCCTGAAAATCAGGAAAAGGTAATTGCTGTCACTTTTACCAACTCCTTCACGTGTGTTAGCACTGAGCTGGCTGCCGGCTGCTCTGAAACGCAAACTTTTCCGATCCACAGCTAGGGTTTTCGAAGAAGCCTGAGGGATTTGGCTCATACAAGTACAGAATTTCCTGCGCCACGGAAAGCGGTGGAGCTGGCCAAGGTTTCGTGTGGCCAATTCCTGGAGCTTTGGGATCTGGGAAGACAACGAGGAGGGTGTGATAGCCGGCGGCAAGCTGGCAGCTCTCTGACAGCTGTGATGAAAGAACTAGAGAAATCAACAGGAAGTTGGTCCTCGTTGCCTGGCCACAATAAAAATCTGGATCTTGTTTTCTTTTTATCTGGGAAGTCAAAGCTGAGATCTCACAACGTCAGCGTTTCTCAGCCTGGCTGTGCAGAAGGCGCCCAGTTTGTTCAAAGGTTTGACAGTTGTGTCAAACTTTTACAGAGTTTTGGCATCTTCTTTACCCTTCACCCCTCCCTTTGCTCAGGTTTAGAGTATCCCAGTTCTGATTCACTGACTTCACTACTCTGCTCACTATAATTGTAGCTAAGAGTGATGGAGACTTCATTAGCATTGCAATTAGTGCTGTAGGAGATGGACAGAAGGTGAATACACATTAGTGGGTCCTTTCGAAGGTGCTGCAGGATCGTTGTTAATATGCCGTTAAACAACCGTACATGCGTTGTGCACTGAAGCCAATACCTAGGAAAGTCAATTTGCAACACACGAATGCACATTCCTGTATCTCTAGGCTCAGCAATAACAAAGGCTTAACAAGAGACAGAGATGGACTTCCCTGTATAACACTTGCCATCGTGAAGGAATTGTTAAAATTCTCTGCTTGCTGAGAGCACAAAAAAGACATAATTTCAATTCTAAAAAACCCTTGAATATCAGAAAATGAAAATACAAATATTAGTACTCAATGTCCAAATGTCATCAAAGAAAGAATTGGACAAATCTGAAAATAAACTGTCATTTGAGCTATTTCTATTAGCCTCAAGGTTTAACATTACCATATAAACAGGTTTGCATAATGCTAAGACTGACTTTGGACATCATTCATTAAATCACGAATGCAGATGCTCTGCGTTTTGCCACACTCCCTTTCTGTGTAATAGTGATTGATCACAGAAGTGGTACGTGGCTGTGGCGCAGAATGGGCAGGGAATTTAAACGAGCAAAGCATTACACACAGAGAACAAATGTGTGCATTTGGAAACACTCCCCTCTCCCACAGAAAGGGATTCTGACCAAAACTGGCTTTCGGCTGGAGTCCTGTTCGGCAAGGACTAGCCTGACTGGAAAATAACCCTTGCACATTCAAATGAGGATGCGTAACTCGCTTGTTTTGTCCCTGCTCTGAATTCTCCTTTTCACCAAATGTAAGATCTGTGAAGTTATTCTCTTCTAACAACATATAATATTCATCCCGGGCTCCAGGTCCTGCCATTTCAGACCCAGAAAAGCCACCAAGCAGGATGTCGGTCTTAGCAGCGCTACCACAGCATCGGCTTGGAGCAAGCTCTGATCCCTGATGCAGAGTCTTGCTTTCCATGGTTTTTCTTCACAACTACGGCACTTTGTAACTCACAGTGTCCCATATGCTGTAAGTCCCGTATCTGTGCCTGCATGCTCAGAGCTACAGTAGAGGTTGTCGTTTAGGTCCAAAACTTGACACTGCCCCCAGATGATGTTCCAAACAGGGCAGCTCGTCCTTTGATGACTTCAAGCACAGGCAGTATTGACTCAGAGCACACCGTCACCCTTTTATTTATGCCGGACTTGACTCTGAAGTCCTCACTCAGCATCAGCGCTGCGCGGAAGCTTTGCCTGAGAAAGGACGGCAGGACCAGCCTCTTCAGTTTTACATCGCGTGCTGTAACAGCAGCGCTGGGATTGCCAGCTTGCTACAAACCCTCTTGGTGCAGATGCTTTTTGTCATTCAGAAAATAAACTAATATAAATTTTGTTTCGAGATATTTTAAACCTAGGATATTATGTAACTAGATATATCAGCAACCATTTGTTTTCCTTCCCTTTTTTGTACTAAAACAAAATAATTTGCACCTTACGTTTTAAATGATAAAAGTGGCAGATTTTCTTCTAACAACAAAAGGCTGGATTGTTGCCACCTTCTGTTTGGTCTAGTTAATAATGAAAACTTACTTACCAACAAAGCACTTAAAATTTCCTGCTTCAGAATAAGAGAAGTATCAAATCTAAACCCCACGTTATCTGCATGCGAGTGTGTGTGGGCGCACCCTGATACATATGCTTACGGGCAGAAACGACTGAAGATTCTGCGACTACCCCAGTAGTTTTCTTACAGAGAACAACCACTGACTAGGATTGTTAATGAATTTTCCTGTGTGCCCTAAATATGATGTTCTTCATTTAATCTGCAGGGCTTGAACCGTGCAGCTGCCGTTGCATCAGTGTGACTAAAGCCCTGGATTTCACAGTGAGGATTGGAGGTCCCCAGAAAATCTGAACTTCACGAAGGAATGTTAGATTAAAAACAAGCACTGTTAAAAAAACCCCTACTGAATAAGTAATAACACTGTGTTTCTACTATATAAACCTGTTGGCAACGTTGGTTTTAAACACGCTTGCCTCCAGAGCCGGTTGAAAAGCTGGAACAGTGTCGTGACTGCAGCGTTCCAACCAGCTCTCATCGCTACAAGCTCTCCTAAAACTACGGCTCTCGTGACTGTCAAACTCCAGACAAGAAAAGGAAGGGAGGTGTGAGGGGAGGAAGGCCTTTTCTTAATAAAGGCAGCTTCAGTTAGTAAGATAACATAATCTTCAAGCTGCAAAAGCAGCACCTACTAATTAGTCATTGACTAAAACATAAATAATAAATACCTAAATTGTTCCTTCCATGCATCCATTTTTGTGCCAGATAAACGTTTCAATGCTCTGCCTTAATGCCAGCACAGCTGACACCGCGATTCAAGTCCAAAGCAAACTGCAAGTAGCTTTAAACCAATACTGCGGAGAGAGATACTACAAGCCACTGGGATCTGCGTGTTACCGTCATCTTGCAACTGTTGTTTAAAAGGGAATTCAACCTTTCTGCGAGATGCGATTACGGAATGATTTAAGGCTCTATTTCCCTCCTGATGCGGACGCTTAACTCTCATCACCAGAAAGTTAGCCATACGCACAGAAGGGTAAACAGGTACCTTTATTACATCAACAGGAGTTTTCCCCTAATTAACCCAACAGCTTTTAATAGCCTTTTTGGGTTATGTTGTTAACAAGAGATTACCACAGCAACAACAACAAAGTGCATGTTTTATGCTAATGTAAAAGGCATTAGTCGGAGATGAATTTGCACGTAAAACCTATATTTTAAAAACTACTTGGAATGTAAATGCATTTTTTCCCTACTGTAGAAAATGCAGCTTAAAATGATGCAAAACATGCCTACTTAAAACAGGATGCAGCCTGCTAGAACTTGTGAAGACGGCACGGGTACGGTTTGTTGGCAGAATAAAGCCAAAGCACTGAGAAACACGGCACGGCTCTCCTTCACGCTCAGCCAGGAACCCCCGTCCTGCCCAGCCGCCCGGCGCACGCCGGGGAGGGCCCTTCTTCACGAAGAGCTGGCACATCCCACATCAAGGGAGGGAATTAGTGTTAAGACTTACTAGCCGCTACTCTAATTAGGGAAGAAACACGGTGTTGCAGATTTAGGTCCCAATTCTACCATTTCGCTGGTGCCGCGCAGCTCCGCTGCTTGAGGGAAAAACTCCGCTCGGCTTACGAGCACAATCAGCAAAGGGTGGGAGCAGAGACATCGCGACCCACCCCGAGCTACGCGTACGCGCTCGCTGTACTGGAAGTCTGCAAAAACGCTTAGGCGGGCTTTGGAAAAAACCTGCCAGTTTGCAAGGGCTGAAATCCAAAACGCTTCTTTGCTTTTTAAACAAATAGTCTTAGTACCCAGACCCCGAACCTGACTGCAGGAGACATAAAAGACTAATATAGCAGAGCACTGGTTCCATTTAGAGTTTATCATGAAATTAGTCTAAAAAATCTCTGAAAATCATCTGAAAGTTTCTGCTTTTGCTCGTCTTCTCTAAGACAACAACAGACACTAGCTGAGTCCAGAATTAATTGGCGTTATTAAAAAAAACCCCAAATGAGTGAGAGCGTACCACAATGATTTCACGTTCTGTGAGGTCACGCGGCCATACAGGCTCCAGCCTGCGGTAACTGACCTTCCCAGGAAGCCTAAGTAAAGGGAATTTTGCTGTGATTTATTCATGGTAGCAAAATAACGAAAGCCTATGAAACAGCAGAGGTACAGACAAATTTATTTTTAAAAAACACTTTTAGCAGCTGCTCCTTCACTGCCCGCTCCATGGCTTGCTGCCGCTGTGTCGGATCCCGCAGAGGCGGCGGGTGCGGCACGGCCGGGCGCGGGACACGGGAGCTGCAGCACTACG